GCTCCTGAGGCAGCTGCCTCACTCTGGGTAGGGGTACCATTTGTCCCGAAAAAGAAGGACATTCCCGATTTTGAGGCTTGAGGAAATATGGAAAACATAATAGTGGTCAACGATTCGAAATTATCAATATATATCCCCATCCACACAAAAAAAGAGACACAAAAGACTGCAGCAAGTATAGGACCATAGCATTAATCTCCCATGCAAGCAAAAGTATGCTCAAAATTCTGCAACATAGATTCCAATCATACATGGGGAAAGAAATTCCAGAAAAAGTTCAGGAAAAGAGGAGGCACTAGGGACCACATTGCAAACAAGCAATGGATAATGGAGCACACCAAGGAATTCCAAAAGAAAATCAGCATGTGCTTTATAGGCTGTAGCAAAGCCTTTGACTGCATAGATCAGGGGTAGGCAACCTTTTTGAGCCGGGGGCCGGGTTGCTGTCCCTCAGACAATTGATGGGCCGAAGCACCAAAAATAAATAAATAAATAAATAAATATTAAAATTAAAAAAAGAATTAAAAAACTTTGAAAAATGCATGCACACTCTCTCAGCCCCAGAAAAGCCATGGCAAAACCCCTGTGAAGATTTTGCCAAGAAAACCCCAAGAACAAGTAATAACAACAATAATAAATATCATCATGGGGGGGTGGCGGCGGTGGGGGGGGCGGCGGCGGCAGGACCGGTTTGGGGCCGGTCCAAAGGCCTTGCTGGGCCGCATCCGGCCCCCGGGCCTTAGGTTGCCTACCCCTGGCATAGATTATGAAAACCTATGTAATGCCCTCAAAGAAAGGTGGAAGATAGTAGAAACAGAAGACCACATGCCAAATAGTTGAACTCAATTAGGGAATTCACAGGCTTGAATTTGCAGGATCTAACTAAGCAGAAAAGTAGGGGACAAGGGATCTTGGAGATGTCTCATCCACAGGGCCACGGACTCAAGGGCAGTTAACAACAATGACAAAAGTAGGTAGGTAAATAAATTATCTTCTGTGCCATTTGCTTTTCTGTAAAACAGAGAGAGCATACTGAAGTACTAGGGTACGTCATGCCTTTATCATGTGCAATGCTAAAAAACAAAACAAAGAGGGGAAAACTCAACATCTAAATGTGAATGCCCTGGCAATCCAGCTGAGCCATATGAAATCTTTCTGACTATCTTCAATTCTTTTTTGAACAGAAGGCCAGGTTTTTAAACTGGAAGGGCGGGGGAAGAATTACACAGCAGGAAATCCCAAAGGCGGGGGCAGGAGATCACTAGGCTAAACACTGTAAGATGCCCAGCTAAAGATAAAGCATAGATTCCTTTAGTCTGAAAAGCAGTCAAGTTTCCAAAAGTGTTGGGTAGTTTCCCCCCTAGACACCAATCTTCTTAATACTCTTTCATCATTCAATGATACAGGAACCACTGCTTTATTTTGCTGATATATGTAGCTTCCTTCCCTTCAGTTCTACACAGAAGAGTTATATAAACATTGACACATTCTCCTCTTCCTTGTATAACCTGTTTAATATACTAACCAATCTGCCATTCCCTTCCTTACAGTCTGTCTGGCTCCCTCTCTTGCACATTTATACACATACTTACACACAGAGAGAGCAGTTGAAGAACATTACAAGAACCATGGGAAGCAATCAAGCCATTCTTTTAAGAGACCCAAGTAGTTGTAACATACAGCTCTCTTCCCTCTTGATTTGTGACCCAGTAATTTCTGCATTTTTGATCCCAGGTTTGAATTACCCACATGTTCTGACTTCCATCATCATTCAACTATACTGCTTTATACTTCTCTGGCTTTTTATAGGGACAATGATCTCCCCCAGAAAACCCTCACAAATGAAACAAAAAGAACTTTGAGGTTACAAGTTCCTACTATCAAAAATGAGTTTGTTTCTTAACACTCCCTAAGACTACTTTTTTAACACTCCCTCATTCCCAAAGTGGTATGGAATCAGCTTTAGTATGAAATATGAGTGCTCTAAATAGGTATCCTAGAGTACCAGCCATCTCTCAGTATGCTCCAGAGACAGCAGAAAAGAGGGCTTTTCAGGTCAACAGATAGCTGCCTGGGAGGGATTACCTCCCAAGGGTGCCTTTTGTGGCCATCTGCAAATGAACAAATTGCATTTCAGCAGTCTAGAAGGCTCCTTTGTAAAAGTGCTCTCAAAAAGTTCTGAACTGCCACAGTTTAAACAATAATGCAGGGGTAGGCAACCTAAGGCCCGGGGGCCGGATGCGGCCCACCGAGGCCTTTGGACCGGCCCCAGGCCACTCCTGCCACCGCCGCCCCCTGCCATGATGATATTGATTATTGTTGTTATTACTTGTTCTTGGGGTTTTCTTTGCAAAATCTCCACAGGGATTTTCTGGGGCTGAGAGAATGTGCATGCATATATATATTTATTTATGGTGCTTCGGTCCCCCAATTGTCTGAGGGACAGCAACTTGGCCCCTGGCTCAAAAAGGTTGCCTACCCCTGGTCTAGAGACTGCACAAGAGTGCTGGGGGTGCTGTGGATTTCTATCTAATGTATTTTTGAGCTAATGCTCTCTTCCCACTTATGTGCAGATTAGGTCTAATGAGTACTTATGGGATCTCCCCTCTTTCAAAATGCAAAATGCAGTGGGGGGAGTCCTTAACAGAGTAGATGACCTAGTGATTTATAAAATAGAATTTTTAAGAGAAAGAGAGCCTGTAATGTTTGCTTTTTTTTACTAGAGTTTTTTCCGTGCAGTCATGCCAGCCACATAATCACAGAGTCATCTTCACAAAAAGCTGCTCTTTGCCTTAGTAATGGAGATGAGCACCACCCCCTATTACGATTCATGTCAGGGGAAAACCTTTACCTTTACCTTTACTTTTACCTTTACCTTTACCTTAAGAATCCCCCAGCAGCTATGCTAGTTTGGGGGTTATAGGAGTCCTTGTCGTCCTCCCTGCAAAGGTTCTCCAAGCTCTGAAGAGAAGTCAAAACAAACAGCAAAGGAGAC